AGTAATAACAAGCAGGAATCAGAGTCAGGAGTGAAGGGGCTCGTGTGGGCAAGCAACAGTTGCTACTGCCCAAACACAAAGCAGGTTCAATCACCACATTCAGAAAAGCATCTTTCCAATGCAAGAGCAATCTCCAAAAGCAGACAGATCCATTACAAAAGGGAGAAGAAAGGTTACTGTTCAGTGAAGAGCAGTAACCACTAGAAATGCTCAGAAAGAAATGGATTTGAACTGAATTAAGGTCAGCAGAAGGGGCAAGAAAAAGACTGCAACCTCATCCAAAAAGCATTCAGATATTAGAAGGATTATGCTAAATATCTCCAGAGACAATAAGTGACATAAAATACGTATTAAGAAAATTTCATTCAATGAATTACACTGCAAATCATTATGAATATTCAATTTCAATCAAAGTGAAATTAAAGAGAGTATTCAGGACTCTGGATTTGAATCTTAAAAGACAATTAAAAGGAAAGAAAAAGAATTAAAATGAGAGAGATAAAAAATTTGATCTTATAAAAATATATTAAGTAAGTTTTTAATCTATGATATAGAAAAAATCAGACAACAAGATTTTGAGCATCTTATTATACTTAAAATATGCTCCCTCAAGTTTTGCTCTTTATTCTGGGAAAGAGAGATCTCTGTTCACCTCGAGCTGTTCAGGATCATTTATAAGAGAACTAGATATGCTCAAATGGTAGGAATGATGGCAGGAAAAGACAGAGTAATGTGCTTCAATTTGTGGCACATTTTTTAGTGTGCTAGCATTGAACAAATAATGAGAAGAGGAATAAGGTGTATCAGCACTTAGGGCAGAGACAAGTCTGTTCAGATCAGTGGGGACAAGACAGCTGAATATCATAACAATGCTATTGCAGCATATTAGTATTAAGTAAAAAACCTCCAAATTCAAAATCACTAGTAATGTTTTAAAAGTTTTTACTGGAATTATTAAAACATGGATATTTTCCTAATCAGTACTTTGTATTTGCTAAAATAGTTTTGCAGAATTTTAACCCATTTTCATGTACATTGGCTATATGAAATACATATTCTATGCAGTAAAATGTGGATGTTTGATTTTGCTTTCTTTAGCAGGCTGATAATTTTGATTAAGTTTGTGAAATGTCTAACTGAAAGATTATTCTGCCTGATAAGCAAATATTTCTTGTGTTTTCTTCTCTCTTTGATTTCTCACATCTTCAATCTTAAAGGCATCTTTCAGGGAGAAGAAGAGGCTCAGGACCATAAAAAGTAAGAAATATGATTTCATTACATGCAAATATTGGGTCTTTTTCTTACTTTCTGGTCATTTTGGGTTTTAAAAATTCATAAAGAGATGTGGCTGTATGTGAAGATCTGTTTAGTGATAACAGCACAAAAGTAGCAAAATAATCTTTGCTCAGCTTTTTAATAAAGCTACAACCAAACAGTGTGGCTTTATCTGTACAATCTCTCCCACCACATACGCACACACAAAATTAAAAAAAGAAAACTTGAAAATGTAGCCTACAGCTTCTAAATGATATCAAATTCTTGAAAAATTGCTGGCAAGTCTATGGAAATACACATTAAGATACTGCAAAATGTTTGGTGCTGTGTTTCTGGATATAAAAATACAGAAATGGAATTAAAAAACTAATTATTTTGCCACAAAAAGGAGCCAAACAGATCCCTGAAAACTACTTTAGATATTATTTTCAAGCTAATCAGTGTGTGGACCATTTGTATATCAGAGTTTATTTAGTTTATGTGTTCAAAACTAAGAGACTACACTGACACTTTTAACAATAGAAAACAAATCCTACAAAAGGATTTTCCTGTTATTTTACTTTGGATCAGGTCAATGTGTGCCCTTGTCTTGAAGGTACTGGAAGATAATATCACTGTGGATGCCATACCCCCATGTCACATCGAAACACTCCCACACACCCACACACCCACACACAGATGTTTTAATTTGTAGCTCACATCCAACTGAAATAGTCAACAGAAGATGCCCTTTGATCAGGACTGTGTAAGGGATACAAATCTAACTGTTTTACCCACTGCTGACAATCACTAACTTCATGTCTTTGTCCATGAAATCCCTGCTTAAAACTTTCCTACAAATACCGATTTTTCATTCCTTAAATACAGAAACCAGTAGAATAAAGAAAATGCGAACATTCTGTCTTTGTCTTCGTTAAGAAAAACTTTTAACATACCTCCGTCTCTTTCACAATGTTTAAATTCTTTTTAGCACAGAGGGCCTTTTCCCTACCTCCCCCTGCTCCTCTCACCTGCATTCTAAGGGTTTCTGATACTCTCCTGAGCTTCTTGAAAAAGCAAGTATGACACATTGCAAGATTTGCAGTGTCTGCTGCAGGATGAAAGACACACAGTAGAAAAGAGGCACAGAGTAGAACTACCAGCAAGGCATTCCAAAAAATCGGATTTTGCTTTTCATAGCAGATATTTTACAAGTATTGGACTGCAAGATGTTGTGTAGTTGTGATGGCTAACGCCACAAAATTAACTATGTATTAACACCTGACTTTATGTAATTCAGTGAGAAGCATCTGAATTTTATCCTTGCATCCTTATAGTTTGGAGAGTCTCATTTTTTTCCCTTGAAAGACATGCTATTTTTATCCCATCCTTTATTAGTATTTATGTAGTATTCTGTGACACTGAAGTAAACTGAACAGAAGGATTCAGTGGCAATAAAATGTAGATTTTTGCTGCTTAATATAATGAAGATCTAAGAAAACATGCAGATATTTTCAACAGTTACTATGTAGAGGAACATAGAAGAATATCAAAATATCTGGCTGCATTAATCTGAGAGTGATTTGAAGGCCTGCTTGGGATTGACACCTCACCTAATGATACAATCACATTTTAATATGTATTATATTTGTAGGAACAAATGGTTCACATCTTTCAGCATCTTCAGCTGTTCCTAAGAACTAGATGGGCCATGTGGCTTTGGAAACCCATGTAAGCACAGACTCAGCTTGTACATCCAGTCCTGAGGGCACAGAAGGTCTGGGGAAACCCACCCTGAGTTCCTCTGGTGTATACTGCGTAGCTTCTTCTGGCATGATGGCATCTGTTCCTGCCACTGCTCCTGTTTTGTTCTCATTAACTTCAATTCACTTTGCACTTCAAACATTTGACATCTGCTTCCCCCCTTCTTAACATTTTTTTCCTTGAAAAATATTACAGAAGTCTCTCCATGTCTTTCTTAAGCTATGATGCAATTTTAAAGAGAAATGGTTGTGATCTGGCTTTAGACAATGCAGGATCTGTTATAGGTCTAAACTTAATATTCTTCCTTTACCTTGTCAAAGCCAATCTAGCAATGACCAAAACACATGTTTTTTTTCTGATTGAAGTGCATGTTTAGCTTTTGCTTCTATTTTACTTGTAATCCATTTAAATTTGATCTCTCATCAGCCTCTCAAAGTTCTTTATAGCTTGTGTTGTTACTGTAGCTGTGCAATAAGAAACAAACAAAAAAAAATCCTATGCATAAAAAGATTTAAGAATAACACAGTAAAATCATGACAAGAGAAATTGTTCAAGGTAGTGAACACACCAATGAGATTTTGAGTGTCTTACAATACCTGCTGTTCTAACTTCAAAAAATTGCTGCATATTGGATATGCCTCATGTATGACTCTAGAGCTGATGGGAGAGTAATGCCTGGAAATTAATTACTTGTATGAACAGTTTCTAGGAAACTCATTAAATTGATTAACTAATGTAATATTTTTCTATTCTTGTTATTATGATCTTAATTATTTTGAATTTTGTGGTTTAAGCTACAAAGTTCAAGCATTCACTAGTTCAGCTAATTCAGGGAACCCACCAAGATGCTTCTTTAAAATTTTCTATGGGCTGACTTGGTCTGGCTTCTCCTCTTTATGGCTTTTACAGCAACCAATGGCTTTCTTGTGCTAGAGATCATGCAAAATAACATGAAGAATCTGCTGGACCTTCCTTTTCTTTCTAAGACCTTGTACTTTCTGTGAGCAGTCTATATCAGTCAGAAATGTCCCACAGATTGTAACAGGAAGAAAAGTAGATCATGGCATAATTTCCTTCATGCTATTGTGTGAACTGTGCAAAGCTGACAGCTCCTTTTTCAGATTTAATTACAGAGACAGTAATTACCTGCATTGTATGCATTAAGCAAAATAGTCACAACTTTTAAATTCATTTTTAACATCTCACAACTCTATTAGAAATTCTTGCATATATAATTAGATCAAATTAAAACATGGAATTTGAATTCAAAAACTTGAATTAAATGCAATAATTTGACCAAAGACACAAAAAAACCCATTGTTATGACTTGTATCTGCTAATACAAACAGGTCCATAATGACTGCAACTCAGAGGCAGTAATTACAAGAAAGGCAGTGCATTAATTGAACCAGGAAGATTATTGATATCCCTGGGAATGTCTTGTGCTTCTGTCAGCCCTGACTGACCCTCAGATTAGAAGTTCTTGCTTCATGTCTGGTAGAGGTGCAATTCCTAGCTTTGTTGAAATAGTTAAGGTTGGAATACACTTTGTTGTTTTGTTTTGGTTTTTTTTAATAGTGGGGAAGTATGAACAGCTTTTCCAAGTCAGAACAGTGCTGTTCATATCATTAAAATTTCATGAGTTATGACTTCCCTTGGTTTTCTTTGAGTTGTGAAAAAGCAGTATCTTTTATTGCATTCCTCTGTTTAATTACTGACAGTTTCTCTGGGGAGTTCCAGTAACATTTACCTTATATTTCTAACATACTTTCATCACAAGGTCTTCTGCTTGCTTGCAGAGATGCAAGAACTACAAAACCATCACACCAGAGATTATAAGAGGAAGAAATCAATGGAAATCCAGTCTTTTAGGCTCTGCTGCTGTGATCATTAATCACCCTCCCTTACACTGAGAGAAAAAAAATAGTTCTCAATTTAATTTTAATACTGAATGCTAAAGAGGCATTAAGAAATGCACTTACTTCTCTCTGTTGAATATGATGAATTCTTTCCTAACGGTTTCCAAGCACTGCTGCAGGTGTACGTTCTTTAAAAAACAGCATGAATAGGTTGATTAAAAAAGATGAGAAATCATAGACAAAGATCACAACAACACAAACAACGCTGAACAAAATGCTTATGAATGAATGCTATCAAGAGGCATTTCGAAGACTCATTAAATCGGGTTGTGATGGCACAATCAATCTCATTCTTTTGGAAGAGAATTCTCACAAAGAATTCCTGAGGATTTTTACATCTGATAGCTTTAGGAAGAACAGCTTGCATGAACATTCAAAATCATTAGGAGTAGCAGCATAATTTTTAAAACCCCACTGGAATGATAATTCAAGTCTGGAAATTATTATTAATATTCTTGGTACTCTTGGCTGTTCATACAATGCATCTTTCTATATGGCACACATTAGTCAAGAGTGGAAGAGAGAGCTTTATCATATTTATAAATAACAAGCCTTTTAACTGCATACTTTTCATTTTGGGTAGTAGTAGCAAATAAATACTCTTTGTAACTATTTGTCCATATGTGGGAAGTGTTTTTCGCAACTGGCAACAGTTTTTCATATTTTAAATGAGCATCTGTGATAATCTTAAAAATTATTATAGCTTAAAGATGTTGTTACTATTTGACTGAAATAAATGGTTGTTTTTCATCTTGCTTTGGAAGTGATTTATGCAATGTATAAAATGACAGAGAGAGAGGTTGAGTCTATTTTCAGAGGTGATAAAGCTGAACATAAGTGAGTTTGTCTATTAGAGTGTAAATAAAATACCACTGGCTGCAGTCACAGTCCCCATCTTACCAGTGGGCAGGTTTCCTTAGCTCCATCTTTGGATTTGTTTTTGGCAAGTCGCTTTTTCTTTTTATGGAGAGGCTTGGACTCCAAAATCATTTCTTCAAGTTCAAATGTGGGATCACAGTTCAGTCTTCCTTTCTGGTACAAAAGGATTCAAAGTTACTCTTTGAAGCATCATTGTGGTTTTTTTTTAATTTGCTTGGCAAGTGTTAACGGCAGTAATAATGAACCAGCTCCTCAATCACATCTGTAAAATAAAAACTGTCCTTTTAGGCCTGAAGTGATGCTCAAAGTTTAAATAAGGGAGATAAGATAAAAATCATATTAAAAAGCAATTATAAAGAGTTAGATCCTCTTCCTGGTTATAAACAGATATATTCTTAGAGTGACAAAAGTTATGTTACCCCAGTGAGAGAGATTAATCTGGCCCAGGGTCTTCATCAGAATATCAGTTAGTGCTGTAGAGTAATTGTGACACCAGTAATAGTGCAGAAGAGCTGGGGAGTACCTCTAAGACCTTGCTGAAATCTGATTTGCTGAAGTGTTGCAGTGGATTCATTTACTTAGATGCTGTCCATGAGAACAAAGGAAGGGGCAGGCCTTCACAGGTTAGCAGCATTTATATAAAAAAGGGTTCACAGTATTGTAGAATCCCAGTTTGGAAAGGATCTCAAGGATCATGTGGTCAGACTTTTCTGGTCAAAACCACAGTGCCCAATCCAGACAAGATGGCCCAGCAACCTGTCCAGCTGGATCTTAAAACAGCCCAATTTTAGAGAATCCACCATTTTCATGGGCAGATTATTGAAATGGGTGATTGATGTTGCAAAAAGTTTTGCTCTTGTGTCCAGCTGGAATCTTCCCAAGAGTTACCTGTACCCAATACCCCTTGCCTTTTCCATGATCCCCTGTAAAAAGGGAGTCTCCATCTTGGTGGCTAACCTTTAGGTAGTGGGATATGGTGATAAGGTCTCCCCTAATCCTTCTTTTCTCAAGGCTCTGCAAGCCCAGTTCTCTCAGCCTTTCCTCTTGTGGCCTACTTCCCACTCCTCTGATCATCTCTCTGGACCCTCTCCACCTGTCCACATCTTTTTTATGTAGTGGGGACCAAAACTGAACACAGTATTTCAGGTGTGGCCTGGCAAGTGCTGAGTGGGGCAATGACTTCTTTATCTCTGTTGGTGGTGCACTTGTTGATGCAACTCCACATCCCCTTGGCTTTCTTTGCCATGGCAGCACCCTGGTCACTCACACTGAGCTTGGTGTCCACCTGGACCTCCAGAGCTGCTGGAGCTGTTCCTCAGCTGGATAGATCCCACCCTGTGCTACACCCCTGGACTGTATTTTCCCAGGTTTAAGCCCTAACCCTTGAACTTCATAAGGTTCTTGCTAGCCCACTCCTACAAGGGTCTTCCTGCAGGGTAGTTCTCCCAAGGTGTCACTTCCCCACTCAGCTTGGAATCATCAGTGGACTTCCTCATGGATCACTTGATCCCATGATCCACATCACATGTTAGGGTATTAAGCAGTGTTGGTCCCAGTATTGATCCCTGGGGGACCTCACTTGTGACAGGCTCCCAGTTTGAGGAGGATCTTTTTCCACCTCCCCCAGGTGCAGCCCATCAGCCAGTTCCCCATTACATGGATCACTTTTCTATACCACAACACTTAAATTTCTCACAAAGGAGACGGTGGGAAACTGTTTCAAACACCTTAGAGAAATCCAGGTAAACAATGAGAACCGCTTGCCCCATAACAACTGAGCAGGTCACCTTGTCATTGAATATGATAAGGTTTGGAAAATCCCATTTGTCCTTGGAGAATCATTGCTGGCTTTTCCCAATCAGGTGCTTTATTCTAATCTATTATACTTTTTCTGTTCTATCCACTTTATTAAGGTTTTCCTTACCCATTACACATACTACTTAAATTGCTTTTGGGTTCTTCATTAAAAAAATGTTATGCTAATTTCTGGTGCTTGAATCAAATTTTAAAATTCTTTGTTATACCAGGAAGTCCTTCACAAAAAATTTGCAAACAATTTGAATTGGATGTTAAAAGCAACCTATTTTCCTCTGGGACTTCTGAGAGTTCAATCACACCATTGTCACTGTCAAGGTGGAAGTACTAAAATAAGTCATATATAAATGACAGATATTTATGGTAAGCAAAGACACTAAGCAGCAAAATCACATCAGAAACTAGTTGTATAATTTGTCATGTCCTACAATGAAACATTTGGTTTAGAGATCACTCCATTATTTTTATTCCTAGCAAACTCTGTATAGTCAGAGCACAATGTTTAGATATCTGATGCCTTTTCCTGAATATTATCCAGCCAGCTTTAGTAGAATATATTTGGGTTTTTTTACTGGCAGTTCACAGCTTATTTATATTTATTTAAAAAAAAATCTTAGGTTTCATCAATATCAGTTCCTCCCTTGAGCATCCATAGTTTTTAGATTTGAGTACTTTAAAAATATATCCCCTTAATACTGAAGCTTTAAAAATAAAAGCAAATTACATTTAAAAAAACCCTACAACAATTTATTACTCCAAGCTGAAAATGAAGTAACTAACTAAGCTATAAAGGAACACATGTGCTAGTTAAGTAGGAACTATGCTTATGGAATCAAATTGAGCTGTTAGAAATTAAGCTATGGGACATTGCTCCCACGGGCCTCCTGTGTGCCCTCCTAGCTGTAGAAGGCAGACAAGCTCCTGACAGTCAAAGCAAGCTGTCAGAATTTATAAAACTCTCTGGTTTCAAAACACAGGTCACAGGGGTCCCAGTTCACCATTTCACCAAAGGCTGAAAAATGTTGTGTGGCCTCAATTAATCAATGAAAATTTTGCTCGTGCTACAAAGAGAAAGTTCCTGGAAAATGTGTGACCAAACTTGGTCTCATGAAACTGCAAAGTTTCTATAGAAAGAAATGTTGGCCCAGAAAAGAACTTTGGTTCACTGTTTTTCCTGACACAATTGATTGACCAGGTGGAACAAGCCCTGCAATATCAGACTCTTCACGGAAGAGTCTGGCAGAGCTTTTAATGGGACTTTCAGATTAATCTGGATAGATAAATGAAACATTTTATTCCTATTTCCTTTTAAATGTAGAATATTATTTTGCTTCACATATTACAGATTTCCCGTTCAGTTTTATAGATGCTGCCAAAACACAAATAAAATGAAAGCAAATGTGAAAAGAAAAGCCATCTTTGCAGAGTCTGAGACTCTTGGAACCCCACCTATGTTGTGTATTTGGGGATGGGGAACCCAAAGATACTTAGTATCTCCCTTAAGAAATACTATGTTGTGAAGTTTTCCACGAGCTGACAGTTGTGGATTAAACTTTTAGCTGGGAATAGGAGGTGTAAATAATTGTTTGAGCTTTTCCTGAGAAGCGAGTCCACACCTCTGATATCTCAAAGAGCAGCTCTAACTCGAAAAAAGGAAAAGAGGAAAGTCAGTCTCTGCTCATCTTGTAGATCCACACGCCAGGAGCATGGAGTGCAGCAGGCCAGGAAGGAGCTTTGTTCTGTATTGCTTTGCTTGGGACAGCGACTTGAGGGTGTAAAAGAGGATCCTGGCATGGCACAGCAATTATTCCAGCAAATAAGAGTGAAAGAGTTATAGCCTGGTAGACATGACCTCTCCAACTTCTCTCTTGCACTAGGACTGAGCTAGGAATGAATGACCAGGAATGAATGACATTCACCTCTCCAACTTCTCTCTTGCACTAGGATTGAGCTACAAAGCGAAAGGAAGGAATTTCCCCACAGATGAACATTGCTCTGGAGTGCCTGGAAGAGGGGCCTGCCTTTCCCTTCTCCTGTTCTTGTTTCCCGCTGTGTTCCTGGTCTTTCTCCCAGCTCCCTGAGGGAGACCCTGCTTGCTCCCCCCCACCCAGCTGTCTTCCCCTGCAGGATGTTGCTTCCAGAGAGGCTCTGGTCAGGTGCCAAGGAGCCCAGCAATCACAGAGAGCAGTGTCTTGGCAATGCACCTGGCTGCCTTTGCTCTATTAGGCAATGCTCTCTCACCTTCCGCTGCTGAAGGGCTGCATGCTGTCCCCATCATGTTTATCATGAACTCTGATGTGCACCTGGATGAAGACAGGGTCCACCTATTCCACCTCCCTCATCTTTATTTACAGTTGCATAATTAAATAAAGCACAGAAACAAACTTTGGTATGCTACAAATATGTTGTTTGGACAATAATTTTAGTGCAACACGGCTGAAAAAAGTGAAGCAGCATATTAACACCACATTGCTTTTTATTCATGGCCCTGAAATACATTTAACATGAAAATGAGCAAAAAGGAAATATTCCAACAAAAAATACCAACAAAATGGGACCACAGTAAAAAAGAAACCACCAGATTCCCTCACAGAATTGGAATGTTTTATTGTAAGAAACTGTCACAAAGAAAATAGGTCAGTCTTTTGGAACACTATTTTTTAAGTGAAAAAGTAACAGCATACTGGGATGTTAAAAAGTTTTCCAAATGTTATTCAAATGTCTAACTTTCACAGCCACAACAGTCTTCTTTGTATTCTTTGTCACAGAGTTAACTCTGACAATCATTTCCTCTAACAGCTGAAATGCAAAGTCTGGAAAAGGTTTTCTTTTATTTGAAAAGGAATGAAAAAGTGAACCAAGGTTAATTAGTTTTTGTTGCTATCTATTGAAATGGGACTAATTTTCCCTTAGCTGTGACTGAGTAAATGAAAGTAGAATCCAAAGTAAATCACTGAAGAGCAATAAATACAAGCATAAACAAGTAAAAAGGCATTGATAATTCAAGTCAGAATTTACAAACACTGTTCACCTGGAATACTGACTTACGTTAGGAACAAAGCCTGGGGTCACAGCTTTCTCTAGAACAGCATCCCAGTTGACATCAGCTAGGTATGGAGAGTTCTGGATGTCTGCAAGGCTTGAAAGGCGACACTCTGGGTCCTTAATGAGGAGCTGTGATCAAGCACAAGGCATTTTCTAAGGAGCTGGATGCCATATAGAACAGTAAATGTATCACATACATAAATTGTATGATACATATTTTTAAGTAAGAAAATGGCTAGGGAATCTTCTAACAGATGCTAGAAGTCCCAGTTTGAAAAAAGAAAAATTAACAGTAATAAGTCATAGGATATGAGTACAGTTTAATTGCCACCAGATGGCTGTTGCAGGCATGAAGGGTATAAATGTATTAGCAACAAAAGTCTGCTTACAAATACACAAGAGCCCCTGCAAAATGAAACATCACAGATCAATGACACCCAACAATTTGTATTTTCTCCTTAATTTCTTGGAAAATACAGTTACACTGAGAATACTGGCAGCAATTAAAATTATCCACCTCACTGCACTATCTACTCAAGACTACATTGCTAATTGCTGCTAAAGATGTATATTTTTTATTACTCTATTCAGACATTCACAAATTTTTCCTGTTCAAGTATCAATACTGATAATCTGAAATACCTAAAAGAGAGAGATTATCTTTGTGGTGTAGCCAGACAATTAAAGCAAACAAAAAACTGGGTTTTTAGGAAGAAAACAATTGTTAGGGTCATTCAGAAAGGGCCCTGCCTTGCGGCTTAGTGATGCTTACATAAAAGTGGCTCAACTTTGTTGTTGCAACTATAGCAACATGGGACAGGAAGAGAATCAGCCATTTCAATTTGTAATCTGCCTGTCTGGAAACTGCAGCAGAAATTCAGAGGGCAGAGTGGTCCTTCTGTCCCTGTCCCACTTGCACATCCATAGCTGGGGAGAAATGAAGCTAGGGCACAAACGAAGAATTACTGATCCCCAAACTTTTACTATCACTAGTGAATCAGCTTTAAAATAAAAGAAATTTTAAATTTTTACTTCTTTGAAGCCATGAAAAGCCTGAGTCTAAGCCTAAGAATACTGCACCTTCTGAAGAGAAAATACCGCACCGCTCACATTCAGAACAGCCTCGAATAAGCTCTGCTCTCTTATCCTTGAGATGCTGACTGCCTAATGTGTGTGTTTGTCTGATGCCTTTTCCAGTGTTGGAGAGGCTTCTGGAAGACGAGAGAACAGAGGGCAGAAGGTATTTGTGCTTTCTTACCTTTTTCAGTAGTGCTATCATGCCCTTGCACCATGCGGATGAGTAGTGAACTCTTTCGATCTTGAACATGTTGAGTATCTCATCGATGGGGGTGGCTGAATGAATTTCATAGGGCCTCTGGGACAAAGTTAAATCAAGAGCAAGTCAGAAAGAATGGAGAAAAGAGTGCGGACTAGTCACATTTTCCTGAGCTCGGTATTGTTTTTCTTGAAAATATCAAAACCACGAAAATATTGTATAACAATTTTAAGTCTAATCCTTTGTGTGTGTGCTTTTCTTTGGTTGTAATGAATGCAATTACTCATAGATGCATTTACTCTGCAAGTTTTTCCCTTTTTTCTCTCATGCAAGGAAGTATCAGTTCAAATGAGATGAATAAATAATTTTGTTCCTGGGGCATTCCATGTCAAATGTGGATTGTTTACCACTTTTTGCTTGTAATTCTAGTGATCAGTTCTTGCAACCTAAACCAACAAAATTGTGAAGAGGTGGCTGAAAGGAGCTTTGAGTAGTAAATAAAGAAATTAAAAATGCTTACAAAAGTTTGTGTGAGAATCACGGTAAAAAAGGACTCCAACTCCCAATCCTGCTCCTTTGCTTTTTTTAAAATCCAAAATTAACACACTACATGGATCTGCTGTCATGTGTTTGCAGTGCCTAAATTCTACAGATGAAGAAAATCTCTGGTCTTTGCAGTACTTTGTTCATTAAGTTTTTTCTGATTTATCTTTTATTACACGCAGAATTTGGAAATAAAGTACTACATATAAATTTACATTCTTGCTATTTTCTGTGCACATACTTGTGTGTTTGAAGCAAGTTGTTATAATTATACTTAATGTATTTTAGTAAACAAGTGCAGAGAGTGGATTGCTAGTGAATTAAGTTGTACCCAGCAGGTGATAAATATGTGATATGAGATCTGCAGCTAAATGCCATCCTGGCAGCAGTGTGCAATTTAATGCATCATAATTCATAAACAACCTAGAGTTACCTATTAATCCAATATCCTGAACAGCAAAGGGCAGATGCTCATTACCTTGACTAAGAAATGAATCATCCCTTTGCTAGTATGTGCTGGTAGAGGATTATAATTTAAGAATATTTCTAGGTGTTAGTTATCTAATCTGTTAAAGACTTGAACATATTCTTATTCTGGGACAATTCACGCGTATATTTTACTTTCATATGTATGAAACCAAGTGCATTCCAAGGCACTGTGGTGCTCTAAAAATAAATTCAAGGAACGTCTAAATCTTTTTGCTTTGATTCACATTCAGTTAGTCCATTATAATTTAACTATACCATGTCCATATGAATTCCACAGGACCTAAATGTCTGCTTTAAATACATAATTTTCCTGAACTGGGTTCAAAATTGTCATTAGAAATAGTCTGTCATATATTTTCCCCTACATGTGGTAGCATTTCCATAAAATAGTTATTAAAAATGAAACTTTTATGTGCTTTCTGTCACCTAGAAGCAACGTACTGCTGACTTAACTTGATATAACAATGTGATCAATAGGATCATTGAGACAGACTCTACATCAATTGTTGAAAATGGCAATTAACTCCAAAATTAGCAACTATAAGGAATTATGAATCATCAAAAGTTTTTCTGTTAAGGATGTTTCTGCCCATGCTTTTTTCCTGCAGGAAAATCCCTAAAATTTGCATTATTTTCAAGATTATTGGCATTCTAAAATCTTGATTTTTTGACATTTGCAGAGATTTTAAATATTTTTATTAGTTATCTTGATCTATAAATGGCCATTATAGCTTTGGTATTTTGAGGCCCTTCATACCTCTATCTCCCCTGTTTTTCAGCTATTCAGTCCACTCAAGGATCAAAGTTTGTTGTTAATTGTTCACATTGCAATGAATGTGAGAATCTGGGAATCCCACCCACTACTCATTCCTTCACTTTGTCTCCACTGAATTCATGGTATATACATTTATTGCAGCATTTTAGCAGTTGTCTGTAGCTCAGTAGCAGACTGACACATGGCATGGTTTGCATCATACAGTTTAATTACAGTTTAATTTCCTGGACTTTGTGAAAAGATCAATGTTTGATGCAAAGCTGTATGAATTTTGTTTTGTCTTGTTAGCTTTCTTACCAGCAGCTGGATAAGGAGAAAAATGTACCTATGTAACTTATTAAGAAATGTTAGCTGTACTATGGGTAACCAAAAAAAAGGGTGCAAAAAGCTCTGTACTGGACACAACACGCTCCTGTATCTACTGGTCCATTTCAAGAAGAGCATGGTTTTGGCTGCCCAGCAGCGGGAGCCCAGAAATGAGAATGGCTGAAATGCCTTGATCACCATGAGCAGCAGAGGCAAATAAAAACAAAAATTCAGCTGAATGAAAAACAACTCATTTTTACTCATTTTTCATTTACTTATCACCTCTTGAATTCAGACTGTCAGCATCATACACTATGCACGGCTCTGAGGTGGAAAATCAAATTTGTGATGTTTCTTATGTCTAATGCTCTATCCTTTCTTGGCTCCTGCCTTTCCCATGCAGCATGCACCAGGCTCCAGCTGCAGAAATCCCTGTGTCCAGCGGCTCTGCCCCGTGCCACAGCCTCCTCTTTGCCAGGGCTGCTGCTGCTGGGGCGGGTGGGCTGCTCCGAGAGCCTGCCCATGTTCCTGGTGGCAGTGGGGCTGTTTCCTCTGCTGGACAGAGCTGTGGGAACCTGCAGGAGCCGGGGCTGCATGCCTGCAGGTTTGGCTCACAGCCTTGTGTGCAAACTGTGCCTCCACAGCCATCGGCTGCTGTGGCAGATGGGGCTCTGGAGCTCGCAGTTATTGAGATGGCAACGTGCCTCGGGTTAAGCACATCTCCTCAACCCACTGCTACCTCTCTCATCATCACTCGTGTCAGTTTAGGCCTTGTTTAGACCACAAAAATTTAGAAAATACACGCCTTCTCCTTGTCCATAGGGTGGTGTGAGCTGCTAAGCCATCCTCTGGCTTGCTCAGTAGCCAAGAGCTGCTCTTCAGGAGAAAACAAGCAGCTGGCTTGAGTGACTTGAGCAGGTTCAGATAGAATGTTTTTATTTAAAAAAAAAAAAAAACCAAAAAACAAACCTGACTTATTCAGGAAAGACTGTATGAATCTCAGCAAATGAATATCATCCTATATAATTTTTCATTTTTAAAGTGAATTGTTGCATCAAAGTGATCTTTTGTGATTAGTCTTGGGAGTTCAGCTTCCATTAACAACCATTCATTGCTCTCCTTTCTTGGAGACAGTCACTGGTGAAAGGGTTGATTTAAACTATCAGAATCTTCTTTTAATTTACTCTAAGTGCAGCTAGAACTACTGTCTGTGACTAGGACTGAGGATGCATTGTGCTTATCACCATACTTTAACTCCTCCATTCCAGGAATAACGTCAGTCTAAAAACTCCCTAAGGTTTGAGAATTATCGTACAGAAAAATTGATAATATCTGTTAGTTTGTTTGTGCTTGTTTTTGTTAAGAAAGGTGTTTAATACTCCTCTATTTTGAGAGATGAAACAGTCTTTGCATGGGAGAGATATTTGTCTCAGGAGCATGACTTTTGTTATTCCTATGGAAATACAAAATAGATTGGCCAAATTTTAGGCCTTTGAAAAAAGTAGCTTCTGCAGTAACAATACGCAAACACTCTGAAATGAAAATTTCCATTTAAAAGTAAGAATAATAATTCTTTCTTATTTCTATTTTCCTTTATCTGTTATCCTATGTGAAATTGTGAGATCTTTGTGGGATGGATTGTCTGGCAAGACAAGGTAGCCAAACTGTGTTATTGTCATAATATAAAAAAACATACTGCAATGCAATAAAATCCACTTTCCAAAACAGACATGAAAAATAATTTAAAAAACCCTAAACAGCTGCTTTAGCTACATCATCCTGAAATAGTATCTAAATTACTGTTTTCTGTGGAGAATACTAAATATTTAAGCAACTGACTGAAATCCTTTGAAGCAAAACAGAAAAGAATTTTCCATTATCTCCTGTGATATTCTACCATGCTCAGGAAGATTTTTCATTAAGCTTATTCACACAATTGATTAGTTAAGAAACAAATGCACTGGCAGATAAGCATTTTCTGCAGTTGGGCCAAGCATCCTAGGATATCACATTAGATCTCTTATGGTATTAGCCAAGAGAATTAAAGAGAAAATAGAATGTGAAGTAACTCAACTTCTATTTTAAAAAACATACCATTGTTTGCAATTCAGCATTATAAAGAAGCTGTTAAGTATGAGGCCATTTCTTAGCCAAACTGAGGCAAGTTTCCATAATGGATTTGAGTACGGGGTGAAACTTTCCCAAGAGTGTTTTCAGCTGGGGAAGAGCCAGGATGGCATTCCTGACCTGGGCCTTGTACACTCAAATTTTATCCTGAAGAGTGCACTCAGGGGCACTACAAACTTGAGATTTTTGTTAGATAACAACAAACTCCATCATTCTTACCCAACCCCTCAGTAATTCATAGGCTGTAATTCCTAGAGACCACCAGTCTACTGGGTACGAGTATCCTGGACCTCCATCCATAAAAGCCTGGAACACTTCTGGAGCTAAAATTGTAAATCAAATGGAACAAAAAAGCATTTCATTAAGGTTAGACTATGGGTGTTATTTCAGAGCTGAAAAATGAATAAGGACTCAACAAACTGGAATTAAATAGATTTAGAAACAGCATTTTCAGGGTGTAGTTTCAGTGCCTTTTTTATTGGTAACAAGGAACCTTTGCCAAGCAGGGTATTTCAAAAGTCAGTAATTTCATATGTTAATTCTTACTTGGTTCATTTAAGTTATGTGAATAAAAACAAGTAATAGGAGGGGAAATCTTGGTCTAAAGTGTGACTTAGAACATTTAGGGTAATGTAAACATTTTATGGGAGAAATATCTGCAAGTGAGGTGATTCTTCGTGATTGATGAGGGTGTTGAATATGGTAAATCTCACTCTTATTCTACATTTGGATAGAACTAATCAGACAGGTTTTAAAGGTATTCAACATAGGAAAATGATACTTAAATAGAAATCCTGACACTGATTGTATGATGTGAGAAACTGTCACAACTGGAGGAAAACTCTGTAAATGAAGTAATGACTTCCATAAAAGTAACTTCTGTGGATAAAAAGAAAATGTATTTTAAAAACAAGGATCCACTTAACCTGTACTAAATAATGTTACTGTAATTTCTTCAGAAAACCAGATATAAATAAGAGGGGATATGAAATGAAATTAAATTAAATGAGAAGTTGGTCGTGTTTTTCTAATGATTTAACAGCAGAATCTCAGTACACTTTTTTTAAAACAACATTTTCACAGGAGATTTTCTAAATAGTACTGTCCCTACCTGTAACATCATGCTAGATTACAATTATCATTTGAGCCTCTTCTGACCATGATACTGAGTGAGTCTAATGCACTACATTACCACTTATTACCATGGCCTCACTGTGTGATGTGCACACTGCAGTGAGCGATGCAGTCTGGTCACACTTCTGACTGGCAGTTTGGGATCTGACTATTTATGGCATTTAGAGAAGCATCTTTAACAAATGGGAAGGCATTATTCCTAATAATTTACAACTCCAGACCTGACTTCAGAAAGTCTTCAAGAGCCAAATATAATAGAAGATTTCAGCATCCATTCATTAGTTATGGCAAGACTCTAATCTGTAGAATAAAAACAGTGAATGTATGAAAGTGGTCTTATACTCTTTGACCAGCAGGACCATGTCTAAACATGTTTGGTATGAGATCTGCAGGCACCTAAATGAACATTTTTTTCTGGAATACCTGTGTTTGGAGAATAGGTGACCAGTGGATCTCTGGCAGAGGAAAACTTGTGCTGTGACCCACTATGACATAAATCAACAATGCCATAAGAGTCGTTACACTGAGTTAACTCTTTCTCACCTCCAGATGACATAGCTTCCCTTGGCATGCTATATCTTCACGTGTATTTTAACTCTTATTTGTGTGCTGCTGGTGTGTAGGTACATCTTACAGGTGTGCAGTCTATCAGGTGGTGAGAGCATAAGCAGTATTCTTTTTATTACTTTAGTGGATCAATGAACATAAATTGCACATCAGGCACCAAACTTACATTTTGAATATCACCACAGGAACCGTGTAGTGAATGTTTGCTTGACTTAGCCCAATTCGTTATGGTTTTTGCCCACTGTGCCTAGATGATGTACAACATCTCATTACAGAAAATAGCCTTTTGGCATTTTTACTGAACTATGCAGGTATAATGCTGGTTTCACTATTTCTTTTATAGTTTTAACTTTTTAATAACGAGGCAGATCGCTATCTGATTTCTGTGAGATAGAGGTGAAAGTACTTTATTGATGTAACCTATGACGTTGCCAGAATGGTGCAACTGTTTTGCTAATTTACTGACTGGCCTATTGACTTTTATTCTATTTTATTGTTCTAAAATCCTCAAGGTCAACTCATCCTACATTAAGCAGATCAGTAGAAAAAGCTTTATTTTGCCCTGGAGTTTTCCAGCTGTTTTCTCACCTTCAGCCGATGGCATTCTGAGGACAGAATATGAGCAGCTAAGGTACCCATTTTTAAAGCCCCCTTTGGCCCACTTTAACAGCATTATTTTCAGTCCAGCTGGAACGCCTCTCTGCATTCCATCAGCTCCAGTGAAATGGTTTAAACACTTTCTTCCCATGGTGGGGGGACGGGCAGAGGGTACAATACGATTTGCAGCGTCCTATATACACGTTTTTTCTCAGGGTGAAATCTCAACCAAGTTGAAGCCAAAAGACCTTACTCTAGTTTGACAAGGCTGTTGAATACCCATTTCACACTAAGCTTGTGCTTAATGTGTCTAAAAGTCTTTTTGAATTGAGACATTAGGTGCCAACGCAGGGTTCCAGGCTGTGTGCAGACTTCTGGAGTTTGCCTGCTCATTCAGAAAGAGAGCATGATCTTACAGAAAGACAGCAGACCCTCCAAGTCATGGAATTAACCAAGCTCTGAAGAACTACAGCTATGAAACATAGGATATAATACTAGGTTTTGCTGTAAGAAATAGCTATGTCTGGAGAACCAATTCAGAGTGCAAATTGGTTAGGATAAAAGCAAATAAAAACTCTGAAAGATTAAATCCTGCATTGATTTTCTTTAACACTGTTACTAAAATATCTGTAATCTTTTAAAATTTGAACTTGATCCCAGGATCAGCTTGGACAGCCATCCTGCAGCCTGCTCTGGGTAGATTCTTCCAAAGGATGATCAGATTTGCATTTGCCAGCTTGGAGCAAAGGCAACAGTTCTGCTGTGTGCACCTGCTGTGAACATATCCTCTCTTGCCATAACAGATTTAGGATGAGAGGAATACTTCATATTTTACCCTCATTCATCTACACAGGCAGAAGTATTCTGCCTTCAAGAGTTTGTGTGAACAAGAGTGAGACTACCTGCAAGAACAAGAGTTTCATATTTTTCCCTTTAGAAGTTTCCACTGAACAAAGGCTTTTCAGGAAAATAAATGGGTTTAATATTGTGTTTGATTCTGCAGTTTGTTTTGGCCAAGAGCTGTAGTTACAATCACATGCACTTAAGGGAAAGGCAGTAGATGTTTGCATGGCAGAAGCTCGACTTTTAAACAGTGAGGATAAATCAAGTAACAGCAAGTCTAGCAGCAAGAGTGAATTCAAAGAAAAGTAGAGAAGTGTTGGTAGATCCCACAGGTCTTCACAGCTCCCCCTGACTCGATCTCTTTGGGGGGCATTGCATATTCCTAGAGCTGCCTGAGGAATGACTCAAGAGCAGGAACCTGCTTTGAGCAGAGCTGGAGCAGAGGCTCCTGGGGCCCTGCTATCACGAGCCCCCTCACAGTCCTGGGATCCTCAGGAAGCTCAAGCAGAGAGCTCCTCACAGCACATCTCAGTGCGGTGACAGAGGCCAGAAAGCCTCAATGGATATTTACAGCTTCTGCCTTGGGCAGTCATCATGAACTGCATTGGCTCTTCACCTCTGCCCAGGTGCTCAGACACCTGGACAACCTGTCACCCAAAGTACCAGGAACTTTAAAGTCTGGAACTCAGAAGCAATGTGGTCTTTTTGGATTTTTGCTTTTCCTGCTTTGCAAAGTGTGATCTGGCACCTTTCATGCAACTTTTTGAAAATGACAAAGAAACACCCTTTAAATATCAATGCCTTTCTAAGATGGGACATCTATACTAATTTTAACAGAGCAAATAAAATCAGGAATGTCTCTTTGTCTTATATTATAATGAGTAATTTCACATACTACTTTGGTAACTAGCCAAGCTAAGAGTCATTCTACTGTTTCTTTGCTGAATCTATATTTTTCTATTAATAATATACTTTCATTATTTTGTTGTTCACCTGCTTTGCTTTCTTGAAAAGTCATACAAATGAATCCACATTTGTACTGTATTGTGTGCTTCAGCGCATTTCTTGGTTGTCCCCAATAAAAATTTTCAGTCAATACTTTTTTCTAACTAAGTAAAATAAATTCTCTTCAGATATGTATCTTTTGATGGTTTTGCACTGTATCTTTTTAATAATGCCATACTACTGCAGACTGTAGGAAGTAAATAAATGGTTATTTCTGTCTAAAATGAAACCATACTAGAGGACAACCTACGAATAAATTGAATGTGAAAGCAAATCTAGTGGGTCTGCATCCATCTCAGAAGCAATGGCATAGTAGGATATCCTTACTCTTGTTCTGTAGGTTTGTGCAAAAGGGAGTAATTACTGACAAATCCATTCATGTATATAACTATCCACTGGAATTTTCATACCAGTCATATGATCTGCAATGTGAATTACATAGATGATGCATCTCATATTGCATATTTTCCTAAAGATTTGTAACAAAAATAAAGTTATAAAAAAGAAAATTTTATGTAGCTGGTTGGTAATTATCTACCTTTATTTGTCAAAATATATTAGTAACTAACAATATGATTCATGAGCTTGAAATACAAGAGAATATCAATGTGAATGCAAATAATGCTAAACCAAATTTTCACTGTTTTTGCCTATAGTAAAAGTCCATTTTATACAAAGAATAAAGTGTTTTAAGTAGGGTTTCTGAGAATCTGCTCAGTATTCATTAGTATCAGACCTTCATAAATTGTAAGTGGTCTGGGTCTCTGAAATTCAGACTACTTTTAATTTGGTACTCAAAGGTGAGTTTGAAAATGCTGTCCATGATAGAATGATCAATTTGAGGTCTATCTCTTGGTTGGCAAAAAGAAAAGCTGCTGTTATTTCTGATGGAGCATCTACAAGCTAACAAACCAGTCTATTTAAGCCATAACTTTCAAGTCAGTCTTGCAAGATGGATTACTGTAAGGACCTGACTGTCAATGAAAACCTAAATGTTGCCAATGACATCTGGTTATCAGTTCCTGCACAATGCCCTGTGCCAGTGTTATTGATATGAGAAACTGAAAATGAAACAGACAAACAAACAAAAAAAACCCCATGTGTTTTGGTTTTTTTTTGTTTTGTTTTTGGCTTTTTTTGTTTTTGTTTTTGTTTTTTGTTTGTTTGTTTGTTTGTT